TATATATATATATATATATATATTAATTTTATTACTAATTCTATAACTAATTTTTTTTTTCATTCAAATGTCTAAAAATAATGGAAACTATCTATACAGAAGATTAGAGTATCTTCGAATCAATATTTAGAATTTAAATACTTAATATAGAGTGAAAAGCATCTCTGTTAATGACAAGCACAAATGTATCAAAATTTTATTTTAAAATTAAAAAAAAACAAAAAAAAAACTTCATGTTCCAGTTTTTACAGTTTCAGTTCTAAAATTGCATTATCACTTCACGAGCTGTAAGATTTAGATTCTTATTTATAAACAAACAGCATTTTAATTTTTAAGTAAATAATCTTAAAATTAGATCAACTTCGATCAATTAAAAAATAAGATTAGTTCAAATAACTTAGTTAAATATCTATAAATATATTAAATATATCTAAAAATAAATAAAATATATTTATAAATATATAAAATATATCTTGAATATTTAAGGAAATGAGCAAGTGCTAATTTGAGAACAACTTTTTGTTTAATTTTAAGATACTAAATTGTCCTAAAAATTAGGATAAATGAAAAAAAAGAATGCACTTTGTGTGTGCGGAGGAAGTTTTATCGCAACAAATAAGGAAAAAAAAGATGCTTTATAGACATTTAAATTCCACCTCTTTCAAACTAAATATCAAACACGTCGTGCTATATATATATAAAGTTACTCTATTTTGTATCAATTATTTTTAGCAAATTTTAATTCAAAATTACTTTTTAATAAACTATGGCATAAAATATTTTCATAAGTTAAATATTTTCCTCCAACTATTCGGCCAGGCAAGCAGTTTTAACAGCCAAGTTAACGAACGATATAAAAATGACTTTCTTAGAAGCATTGATTAATTAAAAATCAATCCATAAGAAACAATAAGATATAGTTGAAACGCAATTAATTACAGATTAGAAATCCGAAACGATTTTTGAGATTTTTTATTTTTTCTTCGCGAAAATCGACTGAAACTCCCAAAGGAAGCAAATGAGACGGGGAGGACGAACAACTGTTTTTCAAATACCGGTTACGAAACCTACCTACATCAATTCTTCTTGAGCTAAAGTACCATTAGTTTTTATCTTTTGCAACAAACCAATGATTAAAGTGATTGGCAAAAAATGAGAAACTTCAATCGGTGTTATACACGACAATACTATTTTCAACCTATTACAAATTTATATAAAAAAAAACGTAATCAGTATGTAATGTGTTTGATCGACATTTAAATAACAGATAAATAGAATTTTAAAAAATAAATTCAAGAAGTTTAATTTTTACCATGTGTGTCACTTTTTAACGTTTTTGTATGTGTGTCAACTTCATTTTTTGTTTAATTTTTATTTGGATTGTATTTATCTTTTGTATTGTATTTTTGTCTGTATTAATTGTTAATGTCAGTATTAATCTTTTGCGTTTTGGTTTTAATTTCTGCTTTATTGTTTTGCATTTAAGCCAATTTTAATTTACTTAAATTTGACACATAACCAAAATAATTAAATGTGCCAATTTTAAAGCTTTGTTTATGTGTAAATTTTCTCTTTTGCTTAATTTTTATTTTATTTGTTCTTTAATTTTATGTACAAATGTGTCAATTTTAAACTTTTATAACTGGGTTTTAATTTTTTTTTTTTGAATACGTTCTAGTTTTAAACTTTTAAACAGATGCATCATACGCTTCAATATATTTTTTGTCAGTTTTGTTAAAATTTTTAATAAATGAATTTTTTTGCACGTTCATACGGTTAATTAAACATGAGAAATAACGGTAAATAAATAAAAATTTACGAATTTGGTATTAAGTTATTTATAGAAAATAGTGCTGCAAAATGTGATCAAAAATGCAAATTATTGTCATAAGCTTTCTGCAACTCAGAAAAATTTAAGTTAACGAATATTTTCACCTAACATAGATGATAAAAATGCTTAATTCATCACATATGTATAAAATGGTGTTAACTTAATAGTTTTCTTAATCAGAAAATGTTTACAGCGTTTTAAAAAACATATATTTCTTTAGAATCTTATTCCGCAAGTTTTAGACAAATTCAAAATGTAAACTTCATAAATCCATATTTGTACCTTCGGATGGCGCGTGATTTCAAAACATTCAAACCTGAACATCTTTTGATGAAAATATTCACTAAATTTGCGAATTACTTTGCGCAAATAAGAATGGTGGAAAAAGTATATTTTACTTAACTAAACTGAAACAATTTTTCAATAAATGCAAATTTAATGTCATTGTAGAGTGCTAAAAATTTACAGCGTATTCTAATAGTGAATTAATAAACAAAAAGCGTAAGAACCTTTAGCAATTATTGAAATGTTTTAAAGAAATAATAAAAGAAAAAAATTTTAAACTAAGTTGTAACTATTTAAATAAGAAAAGAAATGCTCCACTAGGAAATTTATCTTTTTAAAAAGGCGAAATGTTTTAGGAAATATTAAATGAAATACTCTGATTTTGAATTTATATATTTTTTGATTAATTTTTTTATGTAAAAAAGGGGTTAGAATTTATTGAAAACAAAACAAGTTAAAACAAATATCCATACTTGCGTATAACAGAAAGTTTATTTAAAACATTCCTTGATAAGTACAGCATCCAATACGGTGAATGACTTAAAAATGAACACAAACAATCTGCGAGAAATAAAGATTATAGGATCAACAGAATTTTTACCTAATTTTGAAAGATAGACTTAATTCGGAAAAAAAGCGTGCTTAAGCTACATTATCGAATATATAAGTGATCATAAAATGTATTGAACTTATAACGAAGTGCAGCAAGTGCATGTGTGTTGCAACAATATATCCAGGCAAAAAGAAAACTAAAAGAAACATGGTGTGTAGCAGCAAAGCTAAAACAAAGAATGAGTACAGATTTTTGCGAAGTCAATGTCATGCTTTCAAGTACGTCAATCTTTCTCAAATCATTATACCCATTAGATACCTCAATTGAAGTACATTTAAGCATTTAAGAAATTGAATCTATTGTATTCACCACAAAATACAAGGAGTATTGGATTTTTGGTATTAGATTTTACTGAATGACATCGAGAATGGAGGGGCGTTTTTCACCAAGGTGGTAACAGAAAAAGTTTTAAGAATTGAGAATTTTAAAAGTAATTGAATACAGTTGAATAAAATAGAGCTCCAGATTTTAATACCACAAGTTCTGAGAAGAACACGCTGCGCTGAACCAAACGACTTCAGATCAATCAGATTGTAAATTACTACAAAATGTTTGCAACTGAGCAAAATAATCGTGAACTAAATTTAAAAGTAAATTGAAATGAGGTGTTTAGTGGTTCTCAAAAAATAAATAAAATCGACAAGTAAATAATACCAGATATAAGTCATAGATCTACTTTAAGAAATTAGAATCAACGGTGTTGTAATCAAAGTACAATCGAAAAAAAAAAACCTAAGAACAAAACCAAGTACAATAAAAAATCTAGAATCGTGGGCCCTGTATTTACCTAAAGGAGACTAATTTCTTGAGGGAAGTAGTAAATCCAGGGCTACACAGCTTTTGTCATTAAGGAATTTACATATATTTTCTTGTAAATAAGGAACTCCTACCAATTTCGAAACGAATTTAAGCTATTTTTGAAATATATTCTTCTGTTTCTTTTTAATGCTAATCTCAAATGAAAGACTGTCCAACGAGTGTTACTACTGGCAAATAGAGAGTATAGCATAAGCAAAATGTAGGTAAAACTTTATGCTATCAGGAATCTGTCGAAAACTTATCCAAAAAAAATATGAGGTCAATATTAGGTAAATGCTTAGATAATTGTGTTTCTGTTTTGTTTAGAAGTTAGTTATGATTGAACTTACCTTTATTGAGTCGTAGCATGCGATGACTCTTCCATTTTGAACCTCAACGTGGGCTGGAGGATGGGCAAACTTGCATTCGGTGTCTGGCCGCGAGCACTTGTTTCTTTGGTACTCGCGGCACACCTCCAGTTGAAGCCATCTCGAGTCCTTCACGTTGTTCACAATAGCCATGCTACCTACGCACCAGCACTCCACAATGGCGGTTGGTGTGGACACGGAGTTTCAAAGAAAAATATTACTATGTCCGACACTTGGACGGTCAGTTGTGTGCCCAGCAAATAGTGTTCCGCTGGAGGAAGGAAAAGGGCACTTGTTGGCAGGGGTAACTAAATACAGAATTTCTTTTACGAACCTGCAAAACACTTCTTACCTATGCAAAATTTTATTTGAAGAATTAGTGTTGCATTGAAAGCACGCACTAAATCTACTCACTTTTGAAAGTTTTGCTAACTTCTCCCCCGTTGTCTAAGTTCTTAGTAAAGACAAGTGACACGAAGAAGCTCGAATAAAAAGTTCACTAACTACGTTTGATTTTGACGTTTGGGGGAGAGTTCCCTGTCAGGAAATAAAACGTCGAACAGTTTGAAAAGTGTTTTTTTTTCACCCCTTCTAAGAGAGAAAGGGGTATCTTCCTTAATTTTTTTTTCTTCTAATTCGGAAAAAAGTTCGTTCGAAAGAGATCACTGGCAAGGAATTAAATAAAATTCGAAAGGGAACTAGACAAAAGTTCCCCCCGATGCAACGGCAGAAAGCGGCAGCCGCAAAGGGCTGTTTTATCAGCACATAGAACTGTATCCACGATAGAGCACCGAAGTAGCGGCTGGAGCAGAGCGAAGTTAAGGGTAAGCAGCGGCGAAACTTTACAAGTTTCCGTTTACTGATCCTTCCAAAGCACTGGCGTCGAGCGATAGTGTGGGCATGGGAAGGCGTGCGAGGGAGGTAGTCTGGTAGGTCTCTCGGCAGTAGGGTAGACAACGACGGCAGCGCCCACTGACGGCGTGCGTCTTTTCCTTGATCGTGTGGACTTCCCAGTTTTCGAAATCGAATTTCGGGCCCCTGCGATCGTAATTTAAATTTCGGTTATTGCGCTTTTGTACTTAGTGCGCGTCTTTCAGCCTCAGGGGAGAAGAAAGTGGGGAAGTAGTTAAAGGGAGTTGGGAGCTGCTTACTGCGGAAATGATATGCATGTATGTTTAGAAATTAAAATAAATGAACGTGTGTTTTATATTTTTGCAATCAAGTTTGAAATTTTAAAAAAAAGTTTAATATATCGTTTAAGACTTATCAAATGGTTTATTCACGCCTACGTGCTTTTTGCTTTTATGGCATATATTTAGCATGTATATACTTTAATATGATTATCATTGAAAAGTTAAGAATGGTTTTACATATATTCAGGTATTAATTCAACTAGATAAAACCAGACACTGCTACTGAACAAATGAAATTTTCAACAAATTTCTTTTTACTTCATTTACGAAAGAAGGAGTAAGTATAAGTAAGTTAAAGGGGGGGAGTCATATTTAGTATAATTTACTTGAGAGAAATTATGTATCTATACATCTCTGAAATAAATACGTAACTGACCATTTTATGTGCCTATCTTTTATATAAATATTTATGTTGGAAATATATTTTATTTGATAATACTTAATATGTTGTATCTTAATATTTACAAAATTTTCATCTCAAATCATAATAAATAAAATACAACAATGAAACAAAGGTTTGACAAATATTCTCATAATATCAGATGAATAATTTATGCTGTTATTTTATTTAAATTTTGCTGCGATTGGCAAAATAATTAGAAAAGGTTAAGTATGTTTTATTACTAATCACTTAGAGCTAAAATGAAAGGCAATGTTTAAAAAATTATCAAAAAGGTAGTTTTTACTAAGTGTAATAAAAAATGGTTATGAGTTTAAGGATGTAGCATAAATTAGACAATATTAGTCACTTCGGTTAAGTGGGAATTTCCTTTAAAAATACATGACTTGTTTGACAATAAATGTTTTTAAATCTACAGAAAAACAATGCATAATTAACAAAAGTTATTAGATATCATAAAGTTTCATCCATTTCAATTTTTCATTTTTCTAATATAATATTATATATATTTATATATTTTTGAATTAGAGACTTCCTATTTTTTTAAATTTTAATCTTTCATTTTTTTAATTTTTAGTATTTTAGTTTTTGCATTATTTTTAAGTTTTTAATTTTGTATAAGCAGTTTTTGAGAAAAATATACCTTTTAAATTCATGCAAATGTTGAACCGTAATTTTACATTTCACGTAGCCAATCTAATGTAGGAGAAACAATCAGAAAATATAAAGTTACATGATTTTTTTATGAATAGGAATTTTTTTTCTGGCACTAAACTTCTTAAGGTACAGAAATATATTTAAAAAATATTTTATTAACAAATATATTTATTTCACTTATCACGTGACTGAGAAAACGTGAAATCGCCTTGTTATTTGTTCTCTAAAATATACCAGGTTAATTCCTCTTAACTGTTTAAACTCAACGTAAATTAATCTTTTACTTTATCCATTTTTATAATTTCGTATATTATGAGTAGAAAAGGTAATAAATGAAAAATTTTCAAAGGCATAATTTCGATAGTAGAAATCTGGATAGGACCAGATGTTAATTATTCCAGATATACAAAATGTTTTCATGATTTACCAGGTTTTTTCTTATGATTTTTTAGTCGAGTATATAAATGTTATACTGATTTTAAAAATATTCTATTAAATGAAGAGTAATCGAAAGTACTTTTATTTTATTTTATAGCTGTCGTTGAACAGCTGATCCAATTTTTGGGTTTACGTCTACTTATGACCAACTATATAACCTTGTAATTTTGAACCCAATCCAGAAGACGAGGCAACTCCTGGATCAAGTATTGGAAGAAATTTGCCATCGTGGAGGACTTTTTTGGGGAACTAACCCTCATTTGCGTTACATGGAGAGGAAAACCACAAGAACCTTCTACGGTTAGCCTGACGACTAAGGGACTCTAACCCATTATCCGTCTACCATTGAGGATATTTTACGTCAGCACTGTGGTTGGTGCGAGACGCGGGCAGCATTCGAATCCACCAGCTGACACTGGGATCGAACCTAGGTCACCTCATCGGGGGGCAAGTTCTCTATCTCCTGAGCCACCGCTGCTCAGTCGAAAGTAATTGGTATTAAGATAGAATAGTATTTGTAAACACGGGTGCAATTTGTAAGTGTTTGCAAATCACAGACTTGAATTTTTAAGTTGGACAAATAATACTTGGGAATTGAAATTTTTAACAGATTTTTTTTTAAATATGAATTAATTCATTTTTCTGATTTCACATTCGGTGCTAAGATATTTCAGATAAAGTTATATATTTGTAAAATGTCTTTTTGCTTACGAGCATTTTAATTTATTTCATGTGTCATGTGCTGGACGAAACAGTGAAATCGCTCTTTAGCGTAGCACTCTATTCACCTATTGTCAAACTTAGCAAACATCCTTATTTGTATTCTCTTTCTAAATCCTGTGAACCTCAAAACTAACGCCTCTGCAAATTCTAATATATCAAATTATCTTTGTTTAAAACTTAACCATTACCAATCAATCAATTAAAGTTCTGTAATCAAAGTCCCACATTTTATTTCTCTGTTTTGTTAAACTCAGTTTCACGCAATTAACTATTTAAATTTATTGGATTTCGTTAATTTTGCATTTTTTTAAATAATACTTATCTTAAAATTGGAACTGTGGGGGAACGCTCATAAATGGTGTTCTTGAATGTTTAAGATTATTTGAACTTGTGCTTATTATTTATAATAATATAATATATAGGTAATATAAAATGGTGTTAAAAACTGTATTTCCTCAATATTAGGAGAAAAATCGATTTAAAAAAATTTGCATTTGATTGATAGTATCAACCGGCATTTTTTGTATCATAAGGCATCATTTTATGTTAAAAATTATATTGATTAAAATCATTTCATCACATTTTACATTTTCTCTTGTTTTGCCAAGTAGAGTTCTTAAAATGAATCAGATCCTAATATTCATATTTTGCGAAAAACTATTTAATATAATTAGATCAAAAATAGGATAGGTGAAATTAATGCTCTTGTTGATCGATTTAAATAGTGAATTCAGCTTCTATTTTCGGTCTTTACGTTTTACTCAAAAGTAGGCCTAATTAAAATAATTTCAAACACTAAACTAATTTTATGCATCAATAATGCATTATTATAAATCATCTTAAAGATTATAAAAACCAGCCAATAGAGAAAGTTGTTTTTCTTTAAGTAATATCCAAAGAGCAAATATAATTTTTCTTTAGAGAGGTTAAAAAATACTTACGGTGATTTAATGTCAGCTGGACATAAAAAATAATAATTTTACACTGGTTTTTTTCCCATCAATATCAATGAAATAGTTTTTATGTATTCGCATTCAGTATTAAGATACAATAGGCATACATAATTATTTACAAAATGAGTAATAGACAAATATTTTAATTAATTTCATATTTCAAATACGGGGAAAAACGGTGGAATAGTCTTAACGGTGCTTGTAAGTTTATCCAACTAAATGGACATTTACAAAAGGTCACTAAATAAAAATTATTCATGTCTTGTACACTTTAACCCTTTCAGTACCATGATCACATATGCGTGATTCTACCNTATATATATATATACGAGCCTTTCTAACTCTGGTAGCTATTACTGGTTATTAGTATGCATACGTGCATACGTACTGTTATTAGTATGCATACCTAGTGGCCCAACATCACACTAATGTACTGTTACATCTGTTATTAGTATGCATGCGTACTGTCTAAGTCCTTTTTACTCGGAGCGGACGGAGGTAGCGAAACACTTCTTTTCCTTTCCACCTGTTCTGAAGAGGTTGACATACATACATAAAGGTACATAATCTAGACATAGTTTTCCACACCATTTTTTTTTTTTTTTTTNTTTTATCTTTGGTTAGGTGAAAATTCTATAATTAAAGAGTTATGGTAGTTTAAAAATAAGTCACATTTTATGAATTATTGGGTAATTTATTTTCATCAGATAAATATTTTATAATATGAATTCAAAAATTTTAACGCATACATAGGATTTCGAAGAACGTGCGTTCAGTTTACTATTTTGATGAAGTTATCGCTTCAAAATAAAACAAATTCAATGATTTAAATATTTATAGTTGCAAAAAAGCAAATTTTAATGTAAATTTATATGAAAATAAATGATTAATTAATAAAAATATTATTTCATGAAAGCACTTTTCAAAATAAATTATGTTTCTCATTCCTAATACCTAAATGTTTATAAATTATTAAAATGCTGAGTATAATATTTTTCACTGATTGTAACCTAATTTAGTACAAAATAATTAAAAAAGAATGAAAAATATGTTTAATAGAAATTCTGCGTCAAATGGTTAAGTAATCAAAATTATATTAAAGAAAGTTACAACAAGCAGCGCATAAGTTCTTACATGCTAAATACGGCAGACCAATTATCTGTTTATTTTTTACACTTATTTTTACTTATTTACTTTTTGACATCTTAAGTTTATAAATGACACCACTTGTTTATCCGTAAAAGCTGTTTAAAAAATAAACGCAAAGAGCTGTTTTGTGTTTTATTAACGGTATTGTGTAATAATTATTTTCTTAGTATTGCCTATCTAGTAACAGCATGATATTACAGATAAAATTTTCTTTCAAAAATTTCAATTAAGGATTAGTGATAAAAAAGTAACCTATTTTTTCAGAATATGCAAAGATAATGAAAAGTCAGGGAACACGCATTGCTGATTCTGCTAAAAACAACGAATTTGTTTTTAAGAAACAAACAATTTATTTTATCAGATTCATATTTTATAATATTAATTCAAAAATTTAAACGCATGCAAAGGATTACGAAGAATTTGCGTTAAG